ATATGCGGGACGTGGGTTATCAAGTGCTCAAGGATAAGCAACCGGATGTAAATCTCTCAAAAATGCAGTTTTGCTTTCATATCGAGCCCTTCAACTCTAGTACGTTTTGTGTGTGATTGACTCTTGTCTTGACTTGGTCTTATTTGGCGGGTTGTGTAGTATTTCCTGGAATTAGAGCTGAATTGCGTACTCTAAAATCGAAATTCTACCGACTTCTTCGATTCCCGCCAGTTGCCCACATACATCTCCATTGTCAGGTGCCGCCTTTCATCACGCCGATTTCTGCGTTTAAGTACAAGGAGGGCACTTCTTGGTGTTGGAGCCACGACGCAGTTTGTTCACAGTTGGAGGAGAAACGAAATGCTCGTTGAATGAGATTAAACGAGTGATGAAGTGTAGCAATTGAGACAACAACGCGTGGCTGTCCGGCGACCGCCTGTTATTGCAAGGCTTTTAGATGGATTTATTTATTTATTAAATCCCTTCATAACTGGTGGACAATATTATGTCGTGTCCAAAAATAAGGCATTTGAACCACGCAACAAGAAATTCGTTCAGAGAAAGCATGTGTTGTATCTGTACACGGGAGAAAATGTCATCTGACACGAATTGCCCCAATGCGCGTACTGTGTGTCGCTTTACAAATTCTATTCACAAGGGATTTCATATCCGTGTTTGCGTACAATGCTCCAGAAACACGTCTATATTTAAACGTGTCTACGTGTTTAATGCAGGTACTCAGCCGTCAAGAGACGTGTAGCCCCGGAGGTAAGGTCTCTCACGCGCAGTCTTCCATCCGTTTCCAGCGCTAATGGGACGACTGCCCCACCGTCCCGAAGATCGTACACTTTCCCCCACGTCGCAAGCTTTTCCCAGTCTGCAATCACAGAGTCTGCTGTATCCTCCTGAGACCCCCCTAACCACGTAGTAATGGAGACTGCGATGGCGATGGACAAGTCCCTGGCTGTATCTCCGCCCCTACCTTCCAAGCCACACTGCGCCAAGCAGGCCGCTCGCCGGCCGCGATCCGCGCCCAAGGATGGTACGTGAGGCGCTTGAGCCACGTTGACGCCAATGCCGACAAGATAGTAGGAGGATGTGCCGTCCATTTCGATCAATAGGCCGCTCACTTTCCCGTCGTCAAGTAGCACGTCGTTGGGCCACTTTAGCTGCACTCTCGCTTGAGCCTCGGGGTGGGGCAGAATGCGAACAATCTCCCGTGCGATCAACGTTCCCATCCGAAGAGGAAGCAGCGTGATCGGGTACGTCAGGGCGGACAGGGTCCTCGCTGGAAGCGCCACAGTCAAAAACATATTCCCCGCGCCGCCCATCCAAGCGCGGCCGCTCGTCCCCCGACCCTGAATTTGGGACCCTGCACTCAGCGCTAAGGCGTCAACTCCTTTTTGGGAGAGCGAGTCCCGGCGGCTGCTTGCGAGCAGCGTCCTCATTGCATCCTGAGTAGACCTGACTTCCGGAACCCAAACAAAATGGAGCAGTGTTCCATCACCGACTTCGATGTCCTCACCAGCAGCAAAAGCGCTCATGGAGGTAGCTGAGTGGCAGCGTCTTTCCTTACCCGCCCTTGCGCTTCCAGACTGAATACCGAGCACCGGTGGATTCCGCGACGGGACGATAGAAGGCGCAAGCCGGAATGAAACCGATGAAGAGAAACCGACCGCTACAAAGGCTGCGCTCACAGCTGTTCCAGAAGTATTGGCAAAGACACAACAGCACGCACACGCCACGGTTAAGCGCAACGAAATCCGGTTTACCGTAAACCTGTGCAGATGCATAGAACGCTCTGTAGCTCAACTGCGGAAAGCAAGCCTCCGCCTGCAAGGTGAAGAAAGAGAGGTGAAAAGGTGTGAATCTATCCTTCGCTTTGCTTTGCGACCTGCTAACAGAGAACAGTAATGCCAAAACAATTCATAAACTAGTCATCTGACCGCAGCTTCGGCTGCAAAGGATTTCTAAGAGTTTTTTTGGGGGGGCACTGTGCTAAATAGGACAGGGCTTCTCCCGTGCACTACTAAAACAAAATTTCCGGACTGTTCTCTGGCAATGGATTTTAAAAATAAGAGACCAGTGAAACGATAATTAATTTATATGTGAAAGGGTAGCACGAAACGCTCGCTGGCTAATGATTTGCGGCTTCCCTGTTTCTGCACCCTGGAGAACCACTAAAGAAGCTCGTTGTACCCTTATTTGAGGCACAGGCATCGATCCTTAACGGTGAATCTACAGCGCTTACGCTCTGTGATAGAATTGAACACCTTCTGCGTGACGCCTTGGTCCAAAAATGCGGCAGACAAATCGTGTCGCTCTCAGTGCTGTCGCCTTTCACCAGCAGCTTCGTTGCTCGATCATTGGAATGTTGCACCACCCCTTTGGTCCCTCTGTTTGCGCACGCAAACTTTTCCAAGTTCTATGCATTTATTATCCCTCTCAACGATAAGAATGCAGTGCTCAGATGTTGTAGCCAGTAAAGTTGTGTTTCCCTCCGAGACGCGATCGCTCACACCGCACCACCGTGACAGAACGGCGACTTGCCTCGGAGGAAGATAGGCATGAACGCCCCTCACGCAGTCGCACTCCTTGCATTTCCTAGTCTCTCATTTGCGACACGCTGGCATGTGAGGGATTATGCTCAAGTACAACTTCTTGTATGCTGATTAGGTGACCATTCCTCCGTTTGAGGAGCAGTTTTTCGAGTTGTTCTCTATCCGAATTAAACTGGTGGTGCACTAGGGGAAGTCTGTTCTCCTCATCATGGCCGAAAGGGTCGTGCTCTTCCATGTATTTGACCATATCCTACTTCTACGTTGTTGTAACAAGGATATTCTGCCTGACGTAGTATTTTTATTCTGGGCTTTCACCGTACACGTACTCAGATCGCCGAGGCGACATTCACCTGGAGTGCGCCACCTCTGCGCCGTTGACTTCGCTTCGATCACATCATTCGGGCGCGAAGCAGTGGCAGTTCAGGTGGCATCGGTGGGGGATACATCAGTGGTAAGAAGTATTGTGAAGGTGATACATCCTTACGCGAGTCCCCCCCAGCATCCACCGCCACCGCAACATCTCCTGCAGACCATTACCTCGCAAATTTCTCGATGGCGGATTGGGACGAGCTGAAACGTAAAGTTCGTGGAATTGAGAATAAGTTGGAGGTACGTGCCTTTTCAGCTTGTCCACGGACTCGCGGCGCGTATAATTGCTGCTATTAGGCCTTCAGTCACGAAGCCTTTCGCTTTCTTCCTCATTCGCTACAGGGAAAATGCCAGAAATTTTCGTTGATGGCACAGAGTAGCAATGGAGACACACGTCATGATGAAGGTGAGGTTTTGGTCGCGTTAAGGTCGCGCTTCCGGAGATACAGCCAATTGGAGCTCAAGCGATGACCCGGCGCGCACAACTTTCCAATAACTACAGAAAACCCGCTTTTGCAAGATTCAGAAGAGCTGAACATCGTCGCGGAGATCGAAAGTTTGCTTGCGGCGGTAAGAGATTTACAATCATGCATAGATCCATCAAATTTGGGGTATGACAGATAATTATGGTAGTGTCCCTTGATAAACGTTTGTGAATTCCTCATGAAGGTTGATTTGTCTCGTGTGCCACACCACGCTGACACATTAGCTAGCAAAATGCAATGAGGCGATGGGCCAAATGCTCGCTCACGGAGCGCGACCCTCCAGCTCGGCCGTGCTGCAGAGATATCGAGAAATCTTGGATTATTACGCCAATGACTTTCAAAAAAGTCAGACCGTGCTTCAGCGAAAGCGGGAAACAGCAGAACTGCTTAGTACAAGAGCAGGAGGAAAGCCGAATACTGGAACGAAGAATGGTGCTGACTGGGGCAATCCTCAAATGGATCAGTTGTTGCGGGAGAGAAACGCGATTCATAGTTCACTTCGCGGCGTCGACAGCATACTGAGTCAAGCAATGGAAACGAAAGACGGCCTTCGGGCACAGAGGCATTCATTGACAGGGGCGAACAGCGGTCTTGCGGGTCTGGCTAATAATTTACCGTCTATAAGCCGCGTGGTGGATGCCATCCAACGAATAAAGACGAGAGACAACATCATCATCGGCCTTCTTACTGCCTGCTGTCTCTGCTTTACTATTTGGTATCTTGTATGACTGGAAGGTAGCATATCGAGGATAGAGCCACTTGTACATTCTCATTTTCGTCGCCCGTTATCCTGCACTTCCTCCCTTATCAAGATAAAAGTAAGGAACAAAACAAACACCGGACACACATGAAACGCAAAAGAGAGCACTGCTAAAGGTTTTGCGTATGACACACAGCGAACCCCGCGAACATATGATATCATCTCATGTCTTTAGCTTCGTGATGTCAATTTTCGATGTTGTATATTGTATTTTGCACGTGTGGCGGGTCAGCTCTCAGACTCGCCGCCTCGCCGAGTCTCGCCGTCGCCCGATGACCCCGACGCCTGGGACAGAGGAAGTTATTTCAAGGGCCCACCAGCCAAGAGAATGCGCAGTACCGCAGCATATTATCTTATGGGTGGCTGCTGTACTACTTGTGGTGATCCTGCTCCTACGTGCGTCGCTTCTTTACCTTCATTTTCTCCTCCTTGTGTCTTCGTGCTACGAAAGCAAAGAGCTAGAGCGATGGGTAGACTTGCTTTGGAAAGGCTTTGCTTGCTCGTTCCAAGTACTTTCATCAGTGCATTACTAATTTCCAACCCGTGTTTCAGAATCTTTCTATTTTTTCTACTGCATTCAACAACTCACGCTGCTGCACGTTGTTCTTCCACAAGTCGTTGGTTTGCGCCGATTTTCTTGACTCACCTTTTAAGCATCGTTGCCTTACGATATGATAGTCGCACAAGTGCTATCCGAGCAGCATCCTATGTCGCAGTGCTATGGTCGAGCTAGCTATTGGGATAGCCGTTACACCACGTAAGTCCCAGTGCCAAGAATGCCTCGTCGATGCGCGCCTTCACTCCTTTTTCATGCACACACCCTGTAGGGATCCAGAGCCATTTGATTGGTATCAGCGGTACAGCGGTCTGAAGGGTCTATTAAAGCAACATATTCGCAAGAGTGATTCTATTTTGATGGCCGGATGCGGCAATTCCTCAATGAGTGAGGACATGTACGAGGATGGCTTCACACACATCACGAATATC